GCCTGGATGAGGTCCTGTGCAGCCTGCTGTAGGTGACCCTGCTTCGGCAGGGGGGGTGGACTAGATGACCCACAGAGGTCCCTTCCAACCCTGAGCATTCTGTGATTCTGTTACGGCACGTTACCTTTTGCAGGTGGCTGTCTCCTGAAGCCGTGTTTTTTTTAAACAGTGGTCTCCGAAAATAGTGTGAGGAAGTAAAATCACACCAGTAGTGCTTCAAGTTTTGTAATATTTCATAGGAAGGCTGAAATATCCTTTGTGTTGTCGTGATTAACTGGGGTGTTTCAGGCGGGTGAGGAGGAGGTCTGCTCTGTGGTGTGGCTGCTGTTGGCATGGCGCAAGGACTGAATGCATTTGCTGCGTGGCAGGTGTCGTCGTGTGGGGTTTTGGGTCATTTTCAGAAGAGTTCTGTCGCAGAGCTCGGGCACGGACTCTGTGGCTGCTGGTGGTCTGCAGGGTAGACCTACTCTGAATGTATCCTGAGTGTGTGGCTGTCCTCGTACAGGCTTTGCATCATCTTCACCCCTTCCAAGACGGAAAGGACCTTGGGGGATGGAGATATTTTTTTTTTAAATAAGGTGTTATTAGGTGAAGTATCTTCTTACGTAGATGAATGACGTTGACCCATCTTTCCAAGCGAAGAGTCCCAGAAACAACTTAGCTCTTCGTGCTGCTTTTTCTTGATACTCTTCTTACTGCCTGAAGTGGAAGCAGAGGTCCACTCTAATTTTTGGCGGAGATAAGACAATTGTGCTTTATCTGTTGCTGAAGGAAACATTAGTTTAGATGTACTTTCTGGCGTTGTGTTAAACGCTTCTCTGGCTCCTAGTCCTATTCGAGCCAGGACCCCTTGATCAGCAAACGGTGCTTCTCCACTCAAGCCACAACAGCAGTTGACAGCTCATTCTGTGGCCAAAGTTAAAGACATAATAGGAGCAGATAAATAAGCTTGCTGTCTCTCTCCTAAATCCTAGTTATAATCAGCTTGCTTCTGACCGTCTTTGTCGTGAACTGGTTATTGTAATTGGATAAACCTAATTAAATACTCTGGTCCTGCTTTAGGCTTAAGTTTTAAGCCGGTATCTGACATAATTGAGAATAAATAGAAGAGATACCTGCCAAATGTCACGCTATAATGACATGCTTTAAAATGGTAAACAGTGAAAAGCAATAGAATTTGCCCCAAACTGTAAATCACTTTGACACAAACAAAAGCTGTATGGCTGTCTGACAGGCTGATGCTTTCTGTTGGGGTCCAACATATGCAGCACAGCTATGCCTTGCTCAACATCGTCAGTGAGCTGGGTGCTAGGAGCATGCCTCCAGCACCTGCAGCAGTGGTATGACCAGAAGAAGCTGGTATTCCCCCCCTCGGCTCGGTGTTACTTGGACTACTCGGTTGAGTTTTGGGGCCTTCCCAGTTCAAGAGGGTTGTTTTGAAACTGGAAGGGTCATCTGGAGAGTTAGGAAGATGGTTAGGGTCTCTGACTGCATGGCCTGTGAGGAGGAGTTGAGGGGGGTGAGCTTGGGTTGAGGGGGTTGAGCTTGTCTAGTTGGGCAAATAGGAGAGTCAGAGGAAACATAACACCCTGTGGTAACTGGAAAAGGACAGCTACGGAGGTGGCGGTGCCAGACTCTTCTCGGTGGTCCCAGATGATGTGGCGATGGGAAATGATTGCAGATTGCGGAGTGGGAGACGTGGCGTTGCCCGGCAGGGCCATGGAGCTTCCCTCCCGGAGGTTTGCAAGGCTTGGCTAGACACAAGTGTGGTCAACTGATCCCGTCTTGGTGGTGGCCTTGCTCCAAGTGGGAGGCTGGGTAGCTGGCCACTGGAGGTCCCTTTCAGCCAATGTTTCCATAGCTGTGTTGTATTTGCCAGTGTAATTCCATCTTAATGCTAAAATGAAATCTTTACGAACGTTGTCTTCTGCTTAAAGCTTTATTTAAACTATCTTTTCATTTCTTCCAATGTGAGTTCTGATAAAGCTAAGTTAACTTTAAATACAGCTTAAATTTTCTAGAAGGTGTCTCTTTTCATTTATTTGAGTAGATTTGTGTGTCTTAACTGTATATATGTAATCTTAGGCATGTCTTTATTTGCTGGCGTAGTTGTACTTTTAAACCTGATCTAAGCTTTTACTTCTAGGAGCCAAGGCCAGGCATGCTTCACTGAACCAGTGCATACCAAAGTCATCTGGACCACTCCACTCAGCAAGGAAAGTCAGTGAGGCTAGAGGTAATCAGCTGTTGGGTAAAGTCAATTTGTCACTTATATTCCTGAATCCCTCTGTCTTGAGAAAGATCAGCTATGCGCTGTGACTTCAGGGTAACCGAGGTGGTCAGTCTGCTCTTGTTCCTTGTAGTTTGTGGTACTGGAGACTGGCTCTGCAAAGTGTTTCTTTTGTATTGGTTTTGTCTGGGAGTGAAAAAATCAGGACACTTATTGTCTGCTATCTGCTTGAAACTTGCATCCCATGAGGACTTGGAATACTTGATAATGTCTCTTAAATGATGTTCTGTCACCTGCTTCTAAGATTGTATACTTGCAAGACACAACCCAGACCAGGTTTCCCAAGTTTGTGTGTAAGTAAGGTCCTTGTAAGTGTGCTGATCAGTTTTGGCTGTTGAGGCTTTTATTTACTCCGCTTCATGTTTGCGCAGCAGATGCTTGGTTTATCTTTAACTTTCAAATGAAGACAGTCGTTTTTACCAGAGTGAATCGAAAGACCAGGTATGAATCCTCAGGCAAGCTCTTTAAGATAGAATTTTCACTTTGGGAGCAAAGGTCCTTTTTCATGGCTGAGATAAGGGAAGCGAGTACAGCACTGGTACACAGCCGATCGGTTGCTCTTGAAATACCTGCAGTTGGATCACGTGTTTGTAAAGCCTGAAGAAAGTTGGTAGTGTTGGGTACAGACCTCTTCTAAACCTCTGCACGTGACTTTTGCGCTTACCTATAGCAATCCAAAAGAGTTGCTTTCATTTAATTGATATCCTTTGAAATAATGAGGTTCTTAGGTCAGTTTTCACATGACTCTGAAACAATACAGTAAGGGTAGATTAACATTCTCAGTGCTGTCATTTGTATCTAACTTGCTTCGTAGCACACTTGAGAGTGCTTGTAATTTGTACCTCCTTTATACAACTAAAATAACTGGAACATATAGGTGGAAAAAAGTTACTATGATGCTGGTACAAATTATTGGTGTTTATTATGTGTGGTCCTCTATGAATGAGTAAAATGAAACGGTGCTACCTGGCTTAAATGAAGTATGATAAAAAAAAAATGTTTGGCTTATTGGGAATTCATCGTGAATTTTCCAAATAGTTTAACCTTACAGTGCTAAGAATGGTAAATCTTGCTGTTAAACATGCCATCAGCCATCGTAAGAAACCCTTACTGGCTTAAATTGTAACTCTTTTTTTTTTTTTTTCTTGGAACATTGTAGGTACTGCTGGAAGAAATGGACACCAAAGCCTATCTTGTTTGGGTTCTGGTGAGTTTCTTCTGAACACACTTTTACATTTTCTGTGATGTAAGTTAAGCAACTTAAATTAGGCTTATACATTATGTTAGTATATTGGTTCTTATCTTGGAAGAACAGTTTTGCAACGGATAATTCCATAAACCGTCACTGATCCTAGTTTCAGCGGACATGGAGAAAAGTCTTGGGGTTTTTTCTGCTTACTGTCTTCTGGCTACCCAGCTCTTGGAATATGCAGTCTGTGCTTTCACTCTCTGTTTCCAGTGAAGTGTAAGGAGTTGTTAACTGTAGACAAAAAAAAGTATGGCAATGAAACTTGGATATGGTTTTTGCTGTTTAGCCACAGTGAGGTAAGTAATGATTAAAGCTCATGTGTTGTGGCTTTAAAAAAAAAAAAATAAATAGAAGAATCATGCAGAATAACAGGTTTTTTCTGGACCGCTTGTGGTAGATAACCTTTTGGTGTCAGCTGTCTCTGTGTGTCACTGAATAAGAAGTTGAAATTCTGTGAGCGTGTTGCTGTGGACGTCTGCTCGAATGGCAGGGGGAGGACTGGCAGCTGATTAAGTGGCAGATGGTGTTCCAAAACCTGGCAGAGTTTTAAGGCCTTCATATTGGGTTTGTTTTTGGTGTTTATGCCAGTCAGGGCACCTGGTGCTGCTTGCATGTGCCAGGAGGCAGAAAAGATTTCAGATGGTGTTTCTACTTGTAGCAATTTCCAGGTCTTTTAAAGAGAGTTGGCAATCTAAATTAGTTTCCTGAGCATCAGCGTGTATTTGCTGAATTAAAAGCTGCTTGTAATTAATTACTTATTAAAAAGCCCACTTTGGAAGATACTGAAGAATGCTGGAAAGCCCTGTGTCCCCTGGGTGAGTGGCAGATGTCTTTCTGAAAGAGGTGCTGTAGCCAAGCAGATGTTATGAATTTGAGGCTGGAATTACTGGGCACATCAGTTCTGACCTGTGGCTCTGGTACTGGGGCAGTATGTTTTTAATTCCCTGGAGTCATAACGTGAGTCTAACGCTTTTGCCCTTTACTCTCTTGGGTGTCAAATGTCTGCGTATTAATTGTGGCCAAGTACTTTGCTCGATATCTCCCTTTTAAGAGTCAGGGATTCTGTCATACAGCACGCATAAGGCTTTGTACAAAGTGCTTATTCTGGTTGTTTGTTGCTTTTATTGACAATTGGCTGAAGGAATGTTAGTTTAGGTGCAGCCTGACACAGTCTTGTGAGCTCATACGTGGTCCTTTGATAAAGGAGCGTAGAGGATGGTTCAGCTAGCAACGTAATGATTTGATTAGCTGGTTGAGGAAACTCATGATAAGCAACAAAGTCTGTTTCTGGACTAGAAAAAGAAAATTCAATTCTTCTTCCACTTGCTTATGATAGTCTTAGAGTATAACTTTATTTTTCCCTAAATTTAGCATCGCACTTGCTCTCTCTTTTCCATGCAGAAAAGTAATTAGTGCTCCCTCCCCTTTTTACTAGCTTACTAGATTTTTTTCCTGTGATTCATCTTTCCCAACCTAATAAAGAATGTAGCCACATAGCCTTGAAGCATTATATTCAATGCCATAAAAACACAGCTATTAACTCGAGACTGGCTGTAATATTTGGTGATTCTTTAGGATCATACTTTCACCAGTTGAATAGCTGTATTTCAGTGTTTTTCTTAATAAACCTGAACTGTTCCCTGTACTGAGTTTCCAAAATTGGGTGGTATGTTAGACTTTCAAGTTAATACATTTCTAACTTGCACAGACCATTAGTATTTCCCATTTATGCATTTAAAGCTTTTTGATTGGGGTATTTTGCTTTTTTTAAGAAAAACTCTTTTTTTTTTTTTTCCATCTTCACAGTTGCAGATAGTTCTTACAACAAAATAAAAATATTGTGTGGCTGCTTGGATGTTCTGCAGTACAATGTCTCATTTTAAGACAAGACAAATGATCTTTTTTTGCAATGAACTGAAATAATTCCAGCTGGTACCATGTAGAATGAGGCCCTTTTTTTTTTTTCTTTTTTAGTGGGCTTGATATTATAGTGAAGCTTTGTTCTAGTAATTTTAAGCTAGCTTTTGTTCTTTTATTTCAGTGCCATAGTTAACTCCACAGTTTTTAGCCTCGTTCAGTGAGGAGGTCCAACCCCCCTTGTGTTTCTTGCCTGTGTGCTCTGTCTGAAGAGTCAGGACTTTGGTAATCAACTGATTACCATACTAATGCATTAATTGTCTAGCTGAGTTGTTAATATTGCTTTTAGCAGTACTACAAGGATGGAAAAAGTAGCAGGCATTTCTAGTATATGATCTCTGTTCTCTGACTGTTTGTGCCCTTTATCCATTTTCTATTCGCTGACAGCAATGATGCAAAGCCAGGCGCAGGGTACTGCCAGTATGCTTGGTAGATTTGGAGAGACTTACGTATTTGCAGCTGTTCATTCCTTGTTCATGTTAAAACATTCACAGGGCTCCTTTTTGTGAATTCTGTGTTTTCATGGGTGATATTCCAGTGGAATAAGTAATTTCTACAAATTCTGTGGCATATTGGTTCAGCACTGGCTTTGCTGCTTAGGCAAAATTACCTTCTTGGGTGTAATAGGTTTTATTACACTTCTTAACTTGCTAATGTAAAGTAAGAATGTACTTGTGCACTTACTATACTGTCTTAAGGTAAATATGACAAAAATGTTGCCTCTTGTGAGATGGAATTTTCAATGAGATGCAAAACTGCCTCTAAAACTGCGTGAAGTTAGTGCTCTTTCCTTTGTTTCTCCAGCCCTCCCTGTAGAAACAGTGACCACCTCCTAATACCTGTGCAGTCCTTTTTGGTAGTTCCAAAGGTAAAGCTATCACTTCAGGAATGAAGCATGCAAACATTTATTGGAAAGCTTTATCCTGTTGTTCAGTGACCCTGAGAGGGACGCGTGGCGTATCATGGATAACGAGTTACACTTATGCTTGTGACACAGCACTGTTGTCAGGAAAGCCAGGGCAACTGCTAGGTATACCCATAAAGTATTATCAAGTAAGAACAGCATGATTTATGTTGTACTAAGATGGAGCACACGTAGTGGAGTCAGTTACTAAAGGCTATAGAAGCTGTGAAAATCAAAGAAGCTTCATCCAAAAATGGCACATGCTCCATTGTGAAAGATGGTATTTTGTTGTCTTAGCCTATCAAAGAGGTTAAAAGGCTGCTTGTTTTAATCATCTGTGTGAAAATTACAACACTGGGGGAGGGAATAACTTCAGCCAGGTGGCTTATGCAAACATGAGTAGTAGTGCTGATGAAGCTCAAATGGAACAAGAAGGTATAAATGTAACGGTCCATGAAGCTGTCTCTTGGAACAGGTTGTTAAAGGTGGTTGCTGGCTTCTCGCCCAAACTCTTATGTTGGGATAGGATGCTTTTACTAACACAATACTGTGGTTCAAACAAAAGTTTATGGAGACATACTTTGAGGTTCAATTAATACCTCTCTCTTCCATGCCCTCAGTCATCACTGTTGAAAATGAGAGGAAACAGAGGGTAAACATCTCTTCTTATGCTGTAGACTCCCTGATAGGTTACCCTCAAAATACTTGCGCTTCCAATGTCTGGAAAACATGGGATTAATGTACGTCTTGCTGTGCTTATTCTTTTTTTAACAACAACTAAAAAATCATGAATGTTTTAAATTCTGTCATGATACTTGAAGAAAATGTGTAAACTTTCTTCAAAAATTGTGAAGGTCATAATTCTGAGAGCTGATGAACATTGTTATGAGTCTCAAATACTGAGATCGTCGCTGGATGCTTTCATCTAGTTGGCCATCAGTAGTCTGCAGCATGGTGTGGCAAGTTACCCTGCTGATGAGGGATATCTGGTCAAGTGGCTTGTTAGCTCTGTTTCTCCTTTCATATATGCTCAAAACAGTTTGGGGTGGGTTTTTTTGGTGGGTGGGGGGTGTAGTTTTGTTGTTTGCAAAAATTTTTTTTTTTTCAAGTTGTGGAAGAAGCTGTGCCAGCTGTGTTCTTGTTTCTTGAAGACTTGAAAAGATGCTCATGCGTATGTGAACCCAAGCGCTTGTATGGTTGGTGACAGAGCGGGTAGGACTGGGGAGCTTGCCCGAGTTAGAAACAAGGCAGGAGAGATGGTCCTTTTGGTGGCAGTTCTAGCATAGATCGTGGTGCTAGCAACACGCAGAAAACAGAGCAAACTGCTTCTGTCTCAGCACTTTGAGCATTCTTTTTTGATGGCTTTAGCTTAGTATTCACTTCTAATACATTTTTCCTGCTATACAACATAAGCGCTGTTATTAGGATAGTTACTAGAGCACATAGATATTATTTGGTTTTCTGGAGTACCCAACTTGGCAGATGCGAGGTTAGGTGTAAAATTATTTCTGATAGAGAGTACATGTTGCAGAGCTCTACATGGCAGTTTGTGAACATACTGTATTTCATAGAATCATAGAATGGTAAGGGTTGGAAGGGACCTTAAAGATCATCTAGTTCCAGCCACCCTGTCATGAGCAGGGACTATCTAAACAGCAGTTTTAAGTTCCATGTATCCATTAAAAAAAAGGCTTTCTATGGTATTCTGTGGTAATATGTGGAAATTTTCCATGAAGTGAAACTTCTCCTGTTGAACCAACTCTGCTTTTCTTTCAGTGTTTTCTAATACTGTACTGCGCAGCTCATGGGAAGTAAATTCCCTTAAGAATCATGCAGGAAACTGTTTGATGGGTAAATATCTTAAACATTTTAAAGCTCTTTCCTGTTCGCACTGGAATCAACTAGTCATCTTTGGCAGTGAAATTAAAACCAGGAGGAAGATTCTGCTTTTTAACAGCTTGTAGTTTGTACAGTGCTTGAAGCACTTCAGGCATAGAAAAAGCAGTGTTTAAGTGCTTGCTAAAGGAGGGGAGGGTTTGTGGTCGAGGTCTTCCACGTTGCAGAAGTAGCATCTCGGACTAGCTCTAATCAGGAATTTTAGTATACGTGTATTGAGACTGAATTCTTGGTCTCTTCT